AGTAAAGAAAGGTCACAGTCTATCCAGCCTCTGTTATTACCCAAATCCTCCAGTCCCAGTAAGTCTTTTCTGTACCCTCTCCAATTTAATAATATCCTTCCTACAACAGGGTAGCCAGAACTATACACGTCTTATTTGTTTAACAGCGCGGTGTTTATTGCAGAGTAGTACTTGTTTTTCGTGCAGTTTTTTTTTTATTTGTGTGATCCATGATGCATTTGGCTCAGCAAAGTAATTCTCTCCTACAGAATTGCAACCCAGGTATCCCTTGACAGTGGGTCAAAGTGAAATACATTGATCGTGATTGACTGGGTTTCAGTTAGATGCATTTAGTATAAATATTAATAGATGTATTGAATTTTCTTTTGCTGAGCATTGAATTGAAAAATCTTTAGGAATGCATCTTGAATATCAGTATTTTTTGCATATTTCAGTCCTATGAACTTAAACTACACTCACCTTGTACGTGGTTTTGTGAACTAGGATTCTGTGGTTAATAATTTACTCTATTGTGCAGCACATGCAAGTAGGTTAGTCCTTTTTATTTCTGAAAGATCAGACTGCTTCTTTTGTCCATTCATGGATCAGTCTTCCGTCAAGGCCACTTGCACCTTCAGATCAAAGTGAAGTGAATGAAAGTCACCATGATCTCGGAGCATCATAGACTGCTGTCTCTTGAGACTGATACCGAGTTAAACCTGAGAGTCCTCATGCCTTCCACAAAGGGTAAAGCTGAGAAGCCTGACCTTGATGGTGACCTCAACCAATACAGCAATTGAACCTGTGCTGTTAGTATTTCTCCAAATTTTTTTTTCTTCATTTGTGGGACATAGGTATTGCTGGCTGACCAGCATTTATTGCCTGTCCCTAGATGCCATTGGGAAATCGGTGGTGAATTGCCTTCTTGATCTGCTGCAGTCCACTTGCTGTAGACCCACAATGCTGTTAGAGAGGGAATTGCAGGATTTGGACCCAGCAACAGTGTAGGAGTGGCGATTACATTCCCAATTCAGGATGGTGAGTCGCTTGGAGGGGAACTTGCAGGTGATGGTGTCCCATGTGGCTGCAGCCCTTGTTTTCCTAGATTCCTTTTATTCATTCACAGGTTGAAGTGTTGCTGGCTAGGCAGCATTTATTGCCCATCCCTAATTACTCAGAGGGCAGTTAAGAGTCAACCACATTGATGTGGGTCTGGACTCACCAAACCAGGTAAGGATGGCAGTTTCTTTCCCTAAAGGACATTAGTGAACCAAATGGGTTTTTCCTGACAATCAACAATGGATTCACAGTCGTCATTAGACTTTTAATCCTAGATATTTATTGAATTCAAATTTCACCATATGCTGACGGGATTCAAACCCGGGTCCCCAGAATGTTATCTGGGTCTCCGGATTAAGAGTCCAGCGATTATACCACTAGGCCATCACCACCCCCCTACCAACTGAAGTGGTTGAGAGTTTGGTAGGTGCCACCTAAGGATTTTTTGGTGAATTTTTGCCGCGCATCTTGTAGATTACACACACTGCTACTACTGAAACTCCGAGGTATTGGGGTGGATGTTTGTGATGCAGTGCCATATCAAGTGGGCTGCTTTGTCCTGGATGGTGTCAGTCGTCTTGAGTTCTGTTGGCGCTGCATCCACCCAGGCAAGTAGTAAGTGTGCCTGACTTGTAAATGATGAGCAGCCTTTCAGGAATCAGGAGGTGAATTACTCGCCACAGTATTCCTAGCCTCTGACCTACTCTTGTAGCCACAGTGTTTATGTGGCAAGTCCAGTTGACTTTCTGGTAAATGGTAATGCCCCGGATGTTGATAATGGCAAATTCCAAGATCTAATCTTGTAGCCACAATATTTATAAACATTTTCAAGCCCATACTGTTCATAGAAGTTATTTACACATCTGTGGAGCAGATGGGTTTTGAACCTGAGCCTCCTGGCTCAAAATTAGGGACACTACCACAAAAATCTTCGCACAATATTTGTACGGGTAGTTGACTTAAGTTTCTGGTCAGTGGTAAACCCCCGGACATTGAAGTGGGGGATTTGGTAAAGCAAATGCCATTGAATGCCATGGCAGTTGGTTAGATTCTCTCGTTGGAGATGGTCATTGCCCGGTACTTGTGTGGCATGAATGTTACTTGCTACTGTCAGCTCCAACTCGGATGTAATTTAGACCTTGCTACACTTGGCCATGGACTACTTCGGTATCTAAAGAGTCATGAATGGTACTGAACGTTGTGCAAGTGGAAATGCATACTTCTGACCTTGTAATGGGGTGGGAAGTCATTAGTGAAGCAGCTGAAGATGGTTGGGCCTTGGACCTGTTCGTGCTTTTCCACCTGTGAGGCTGAACTTCCTCTAAAGCTCAAGTAGAAGCAAAGTATTACAAATTCTGGAGATCCAAAATATAAACTGAAAACACTGGAGAAAGTTAGTGGGACTAGTAGCATCTGTGGAAAGAGAAACATTGCCCGTGTTTCGATGCAGTGCTACTACTCTTTGGAACAGTTCTGAGATTAAACCAATTACTGAGAAATTGGGCACCTGTGTAACTGGAGAACGTTTTGAAGTTGGGTGAGCAGACTCTGGGGCATTTGATGGTGAACATCATGACCCCGTTCCTTAAGGCATAAATGTCTTATTGTAATTGCTGAAGAGAATCCCAGATCTTTGAGGACTTGGTAAATGTTTGAGTCTAACTTTGATGTTAAACTCAGTCATACCATTGAACCTTGGAGAATAAACCATGGGTGGGAAAGGATGGCTGCTAAGCTTGAGCTCAAAGGCATAATAAGTTTACAAATCTCAAAGCATAGGATGAGGTTCCAGGAGATTGAGAGGTAACAGCAGTAGCTTGTAAATGTAGTTTTGCTGATTGAAGTTTTGGCTCTCATACATCTATATATCAGTAAAACAATTGCAGGGAACAGAAAATGCTTTGAAGTCCAGTGGAAGATTCAATGGTAAGACTGAGCGGTGTCCTATCAGATGATGTTACTAGGGCAAGTATGAGAGAAATGGTGAAGCAGGAGGGGACCAAGGATGAAAGACTGCAGAAGTTACCATGCAGTCCCATTGTTGGAGGTGCTGTCATGCCCATAAAGTGACCAATAACAGCAGGATCATGAGAGATGTTTGACATGAAAAAGAGCAAAATGCATTTGAATGTGAAATATTGGAATCGAGAACAGAAAGGAGGAAGAACCGTAACATTCTCACAGAATATTATTTGGCATATGCCAGCAATTTGTTGTGGATGTTGGAAATCTGAAATACATAACTGGCAAAACTCAGCAAGTCTGGCAGTGACTGTGGAGAGAGAAACGGAGTCTATGGACTCGGTCTCACATCTTTTGGCTGACTGTGAGGTGCGTCAGATTTTTTTGGTGGGTATTTTGCCATGACCCTGAGCGAGTTTTCTCACTGTATCTAATCAAACAAGTCTCCATGCCCCTCATGTCCATTCTGGAAGGAAAACAGCTTCTAGGAATGCAGGAAGAGTCAAGATGGGTGGTGGACAGCCCGACATTTAGCTCCTCACCCCTTCAGTGGAGAATATCCTGACATTGACCACCTCGAGTGGCTGACTGACAGTGTCCAAACTCCTGAATTGGTATCAAAGGCTGTCCTTGACTTACTGTGCGAGGACCCCCCTGAGCAAAGGCTATTCGCCTTGTCTTGACTGAGATCTGATGACAACTCTGATAAATTTCGTGTATTTCTGTGGATGCTAAACAGCACAGCAAGACAGAAGTAATATGATCCTCATAACTCTGGATGAGGGGGCAAAGCACACAAAAGTGGTGCAAGGCAAGGATGATGTGAGCATCCATTTTGGCTCAGTCACTGAGTACTATGACAAGGAGCGAAGAGCCTGGGGGTGCACCCTGGTCCAGCATACAAACTGGGTGCCTGTGTCTGAGCATCCAATGTCCTAGCAGTAGAGCTACACTGATAGCTGCTGGTGCAGCATTGAAGTGCAGAAGCATGCTATAAGTGGATTGGAGATTTGCCATGGAGTTCTTAAAAGCAGGCATACATCGTATGCCAGTCTTCATGGATGTAGGGTGCATGTGGCCAGTGCCCATAGAACATGTCTTGAAGTGTTGGTTCCTGCTGTCCAACTGGAAGTTCTTTGGAGCATGTGGTGAACTGAAGTTGCCAGGTACCCGCTCCGATTTCTATGTCAGGATTTCTCTATATGTAGCTTGTTTGGGGTTCTTAGTAAGACAAGAGCTAAATATTAATGAGGTGAGTTGGGATGTTATTTAGCAGTTGATAATTTCCTTAATTGGCAACTTGTCACTGTCTAGTGAGAAACTTGCCATGCCGCTCAGCAAAAGGATAAAAGATGACACGTGATACGCTTCTGACATCAATTTGAGCTTATTTGGACTCCTTGCCCAATTCTGCCTCAAATCTTGCCATAGTCCGCGTTGCTGAGACCCCTATAAGGTGTTCTGCCCTTTGCTTTGGAAGTTGACTCAGTCTTGTGAAGGTGGAGTAGTTGTATATCTTCATAGGACTTAAATATGGACAAGTTGGAATATAACTGAGGTAAAGATGCTAACGTTCTTATTGATTGCTGATGATCTAATAATTGTAGAAATGCAGATAGTCTGAATAGCTTTCTCCTCACAACCAGTATCAAAATCAGTTAACATATGTACATGATTTTACAAAGTGCTTCATGTTGTTTCTAAGATGTTTAAGGTGCTTTTTTTTCTTGCTATCTGCTCTTTGCCAACATGATACTAAATACTGCACAAGTAACTTTACTTGAACCTGCTTTGTGTATCCCTGAGTTTGCTTTAATGCTGTCTTTTTTTGATGTGTTGCTGTATTGTATACAGTATTAGAGAATACTGTTAAATGGCTTCAAATAAGCAGTGTATTCTGTAATACTTTGTAGTTTTAAAAACATTGTCAAATGCATTTATTGTAGCTCTTCCACATTATGAATGCAGCACATGAGTACTTTCTCTTTGCAAATTCACAGATTCAATAGCCTAGACTCTGGGTACAAGGTAGCCCGTTTATTGTTTGCCGTCTGCCGGAACTCAATTTGACGATGACATCTACACAGGGTTGCGAGTTTCTATTTTGGGTCTTCATGTGGCTGAACAGACTGATTCTCAACCTTGCAGATATTTGGGTACGTCGGCAGGAAATGGAATCCAACGTGCAAGATTTTCCTTTTTCTTCATTGCTACTGCACTTCCTTTTTAAGATGTTTGAACTTGAAACATGATTGAGCTTGATGGACAAGTCAATATTTTGAACAATTAGTCGCAAGCTCCATCCAATCATTAAAGTCATTGCTAGTCTAAACTTTTGAATGTATTTTTTTACTTCTGTAACTAAGATTTTATATGTAGTGCTATCTCAGGTACAAAGCACCTATGTGAAGTGACATTGTACACTTTTCACTATACTCTTGTACCCTGTACTTGAGCACATGTGACAATAAAATCTAAATCTAAGTATAGCTTGTGTGCTTTTTAAGCATTTGTTTTTGTTCTTGTCTGAAACGTTGGCCATTTGGGAGCTGAGAAAACAAAACCTGGTAGGGGGAACACCATTCAGCTAATCAGCTGCAGTGTCTGGGCAATTTTAGTTGATTTTGTTGGAGTTGGATGCTTTAAGGATACAAACTTTTGTTCATGGATCTAGAGAATGCTTCAAGGCAGTATAATTGTGTGTACTAAAGTATAGGAGTGTGGTGACAACAACAGCTCATCACTAGGACTTCTGTTGACTTAAAGACTGTTGTCGAACACTTGCTGCCATTTCTACCTTTGTCCCCAACGCCTGGCAATTTCAGGAATATGATAGTTGTAGCTACGTTTAACAAGTGAGACTAATCACGCTATGAAAAGTGTCAAGATATTTCTCTGTTGTCCATAACAAGCAACATCCTGATGCATATTCTTCTGATCACCTACTTCTGCCAGAAACTTACTGTGGCCTTGGACCTCCCAGAGGAACCTCTGCCATGGGTCTTTGACGCCGGGAAAAATCAAAGGAAAATGTTGAGAATGACAGAACCTCTTAATTGCATTTATCGGCCTGCTCAAAACTTTGATTCAGTAATTTGCAAGATTCTGTGCATTGTTCTCCAGAGATTTGGGTGTCCAAGAAACTTGTTAACAAGTGCTTCTTGATGACTTATCTTCCAATGACTTGAGTGGGAATTCTGAAACAGGTGCTTCTAGAAATGAGACTGGTGTTGACCAAGTCTGTGTGGAAGTTGCCATACCATTCACAATTTACCTGACTCTGGTTATTCATTCAATCCAAGAATACCTGCCCTCTGGTGAGAGCATTAAACATTGCCTAGATGGAAACTCTGTAACCTCTGTCACCTCCATATCGAAACCATGGCAGCTACCTTTTTCAAAAGGCTTCGAAGGCTCCCATTGAAGAGAAGATCCAGTAATGGATCGGCTGTCCTGGCTCAGCCTTCTGCACTCCCACTTATTGTGAATGAGTTATTGCTGGCATTGGAATAGAGCTGATGCTTTTGACATGTTAGAGATTTGTTATAAGGCCTGTAGTCTTATACTATTCTTTCTCCCAGCCCCCAGAACCCCAGGATCAGGCTGGGAGAGAGTGGTGCACAAATTGTGTGGAATCATGAGTGGGATCACCACATGTTAGGGCCATCAATTACACCTTGATGCTAAGTGCACCCTGGCTTGATTGTGGCATCCCAGCAGAAAGGGCTATGTCTGCTTGTTTACACGTCTTGGATCTTTCAGTTTCAAGGGATGGATTATCATTACGCCATATATTTTTCAGGACTTTTCTCTTTTTTTTATTCTGCACTGAGGCCTCTCTTTTAGTAGTTATTGTTTCAGGTGATGGGAGGTGAAAAAATGTCAGATGTTTTACCTTGTCTAATGCTAATAGATTTTTAATACAGTGGTTGAATATTTAATTTTCAAGTTTAGCTTTGAATCTATTTAAATTTTATTAATAGCTATTAACCATCTTCTTTCCCTTTCCGTTAATTATTTGGCATCATTAACACTTTATCAGGTGTTTACACTTCTATGGATGGTGTTCTGAAGTGACTATTATTCATATCAGCATGAAGTTCCAGCAGGTGTAAGCAGCTGTTGGCACATCTGGCCTAATGCTGGTATCGTGAGCTCAACGTTTGAAATTAATTTGTTCTAATTTTTTTCTGAACAAATAAGTACTGTAGAGTGAAGCATAAAACTATAATTGAGATGTCTTTTAACCACTCAGTTACTCTTAGCATACTTTGTTTTTACTGTGTTTGGTTTGTTTTTTATAACAAATCGAATGACTGATTATTCATAACTATCTCTTTCCCATTACAGCACGTGCTTATCTACAAGAAGAATAGAGCAACTATTGGCCTCCGTATCTCACTATTTCAGTAATTTTCTAGAAGATTGAAAAGTAGATAGCAATCTAGATTGTGGGAACAAATATTGAACTTTAGAATCCTGAAGCTGAAGAATGAAAACATAAAGGAATGACCAAATTTAAGGATTGGAAACTGTGACTGAGATATGTGAGTAAACCTCATTGTGAAAGTTAGCTTTGGAAGTCTCGTTTTATCATTAATTGACCAAGGTTGTATGGCCACAAAAGGAGTCTGCTGTTTTTGCTGAAATGTTATCCAGTTCTATTGATAATCCTAATGAATTCTCTATTTATGAAAATCACTCTGAAATTCCCTCATCATAGTCTTAGAGTCATAGAGATTTACAGCACAAATGACTCTTCGGCCCATCGAGTCTGTGCCAGCCAAAAACAACCATCTAACTATTGTAATCCCATTTTCCAGCACTTGGCCCATAGCGAAGTATGCCTTGGCATTGCAAGTGCATATCTGAATTCTTCCTCAGTGTTATGAGGGTTTTTTCCTCCACCGCTCTTGCAGGCAGTGAGTTACAGATACTCACTACCCTCTGGATGAAAAAGTTTTCCTCTTATCTCTTCTAAGCATTCTGCCCCTTACCTTAAATCTGTGCCCCATGGTTATTGATCCTTCCAGCAAGGGGAAAGGATTCTTCCAGTCTACCCTATCTCTGCCCCTCATAATTTTATACATTTCAATCATGTTCTCTGTTAATCTTTTCTAAGGAAAACAACCCCAGTCTGTCCAATTTCTCTTTTATAACTGAAGTTCTCCAACCTGGCAACACCCTGATAAATCTCTGCACCCTCTCTCGTACTATCATAGTCATCCTATAATGTGGATTTCGGAACTGAGCACAATACTTTAGCTGTGGCCTAACCAATGTTACATACAGTTCCAACGTAACCTTCCTGCTTCTAGGTGCTTCCCAGGATCCTGCCATTCATCATGTATTCCTTGCCTTTTTTGTCCTGCCCAACTGCATTACTCCACATTTTATTCGGATACAATTATGTTTGCTGCTGGTCATCCCATCTGATGAGGCCATCTGTATCCTCTTGTGGGGCGGCACGGTGGCTCAGTGGCTAGCACTGCTGCCTCACAGCGCCAGCAACCTGGGTTTAATTCCACCCTCGGGCGACTGTCTGTGTGGAGTTTGCACGTTCTCCCTGTGTCTGCGTGGGTTTCCTCCAGGTGCTCCAGTATCCTTCCACACTCCAAAGATGTGCAGGTTAGGTAAATTGGCCATGCTAAATTGCACATAGTGTTCAGGGATATGTAGATTGGGTGGGTCTGGTTGGGATTCTCTGAGGGTCGGCATGGACTTGTTGGGCTGAAGGGCCTGTTTCCAAACTGTAGGGATTCTATGATCTATGATGATCATCCTATCTGATGAGGCCATTTATATCCTCTTGTAATCTGGTGTTACCCTCCTCACTGTTTATCACCCCAACAATACTTGTATCATTTGTGAAGTGATCTACCCTCCTATATTCAAGTTTAAATCACATAGAAAGCACAAACAAGGGGGGCCCCAACCCTGACCCCTGTGGGACCCTACTGATACAGACTACCAGTTACAAAATTACTCCACAGACACTCAGCTAATTCTGGTTCAAATTTGCCAAGTTTCCTTGGCTCCCATGGGCTCTTCCCTTTGCTTTTAGTTTCCGATGTGGGACCTTATCCAAAGCCTTTCTAAGGTCTAAGCAGACTATAGCAAAAGCATTACCCTCATCCATCTTGCAATTCATGTTTTCAGGCCAGAAAACTGAGATGAGCGTTGAATTGCTGTCTAATTTCTATAATATTTGAAGTGATGCTAGACCCTGATGTGTCAGTACCTGTGCCTTTATTTAACCATTTTTCCAGAGCATTATAACAGAGGGCATGCAGTATTTGATTTGAAATAAAATGAGTCTTAATTGGGTTTGCCAAGCCTACATTGGTGTATCTCTTAAATGGCTAGACTTGGTTAATTGGTTGTAGACTTACTCGCCGAGCCAGTGTGTTTGATTGCAGACGTTTCGTCACCCTGTTAGGTAACATCATCAGTGTCGCTCCGGTGAAGTGTTGGTGTTTTGTCCCGCTTGTTATTTATATGCCTCGGTTTGCTGGGGTGATTGGCATCACTTTCGGTTGTTTTTCAATGGTTTGTATATTGGGTCTAGTTCAATGTGTTTGTTGATGGAGTTTCGCTTGGAATGCCAGGTCTCTAGGAATTCACTGGCATGTCTCTGTTTGGCTTATGCTATTATGGATGTGTTGTCCCAGTCAAATTCGTGTCCTTCTTTGTCCGTGTATACTGAGACCAGTGAGAATTGGTCGTATTTCTTGGTATCTAGTTGATGTTAGTGTATCCTTATTGTCAGTTTTCTTCCAGTTTGGCCTGTGTAATGTTTCTCACAGGCCTTGCATGGTATTTTGTATATTACGTTAGTTTTATTGGTTGTGGGTGTGGGATCCTTTGTGTTCGTCAGTAGCTGGTGCAGGGTGGTTGTTGGTTTGTGGGCTATCCTGATACCTAAGGGTCTGAGTCATCTTGTGGTCATCTCTGATATGTCGCTGATGTACAGTAGAGTGACTAGTGTGTCTGACCGTGTTGTGTCGTCTTGTGTCTGTCGCGGAGGTAACGGCAGTGCTTTTTGGGTATCCATTCCTTTTAAAAACTGGTGTTCTGCTTTGCACAATTCCAGGTTGCTGCAGTGTGTTGTGGCTCGTTTGAATAATGTCCTGATGCAGCTCCACTTATGGGTTTTGGGAATGTTTTGCTGGTGTAATTAAATATCTAGTTCGTATGTGTGGTCTTCCTGTCTACACAAGTCTGGAGTTCCCTGTTGTTTTTGCATTCTACCATTAAGTCTAGGAAGGGTAGTCGGTTATTTTTCTCTTCTTCTTTTTGAATTTTATTCTGGTGAGAATGTTGTTTATGTGGCTGGTTTCTTCCAGTTTTGTGCGTTTGATAATCATGAAGGTGTCATTTACATAGCAGAACCAGAATTTGGGTTGTATAGTGGGGAGCGCTGTCCATTCTAACCTTTTGCATTACCACTTCTACAATCAGTCCTGATATTGGGGATCCCATTGGTGTTCCTTTGATTTGTTTGACTAGATGGTCATTGAAGGTGAAGTGGATTGTGAGGCACAGATCCAGCAGTTTCAGGGTGCTGTCCTTGTTGATGCTGTTGGTGTCGTGGGGTGCCTGCCTTCCTGATTTGTCCATGGATGTAAATAGTGCTGTTACGTTGAAGGATATCATTATCTCGTCCTGTTCTATTCTGGTGTCCTTGATGTAAATACAGATTTGTTAGTCTTGCTTTTCTTCATGTAAAAATAGTTAAATAAAGTGATTTGTTAATTTCAAGACAATCTAATGAAATCCTGAGAATGCATTTAAAAACAAACTGACTCAAAGTTAGGTAATGATGAGCTTGGATTGGAGAAATCTTTTAGGCTGGTATGAAGTGCTGATTGGGCTTACTGCTGGGGCTCACTACTGCTTTGTACTTTGCTTAAGTTTTCTGAATCCAGGCCATTTATGTAAAGCTTATACCAAACGATGATGGCAGCCTTGAGCTAGCCGAATGATTTGAAACTCCAGAAGAAGGTAGGCACTGACCAACGAAATTTGTTGTTGACGAGATTATTTACATACTCAAAAGAAAAATATATGATGTACATATTTGATAAATAGTATTGAATTATCTAAAGATGACATTGAGATTGATGTTCCTAGATTAGACTTAAGCATTTCGAACTAAGTATAGCAATAAAAAAAAGACAGTAATAGAATGTTGAACTGCAAAGCCAAATCAGAGACATTGTTGTACTTTTTGTTGTGGACAGACAACATCTTGAAAACTGCAACCTATTCTGGTTGTCAAAAATTTGAAACTGCAGAGAACAGCTATGTCTGATCTCTTGTGCTAGGAATCCGAGTCATCAGGAAGGAATGGAGGGACTTGAAATTTCCAGTATGGAAGGGATACCTCGGAGAGCTGATCCTAAATGTGTCTAGCGTATTCAAAAATTCAATCTGGTGTATTACTTTAAATTCAATTGGTGCACAACCTGGAGACATGTGTTTGAACTATTAAAAGATAAATATAGGATTACTACTCCAGGCCCCGCTTTCATACAGTTGACAATTTGAAATAAATTCCCAGGTAACCTAATTGAGCTAAAAAAAAACACTTTCATCCATTATTATCCTTTAAATCAATATAATCAAACATATGTTTTGGTTTTGTAATTAAGCACTTTTAGCATATTTTTGGAGTTAATTTTAGAGTCAAATTTAGATACTGTCAGTAAATACAGTATATCAATGGTTCCCAAACTTTTCAGAAACATGGCACAAGTCAATGAAACAAACAGTTCCATGGCACACCCACTTTTATCAGCTGAATTGCTCATAAACAGTACATTTACTTGCATTTACTATGGTTACAGTCTTACTAGAGAGATTTTCAACACAGTACATACAACAAGCTAAAAAATCACCTTGGACAGTTCTCATGGCACACTGTTTGAAAGCCACTGCATTGTACAGTTGTTTGTAACAAAAGTTTACAGCATGTTTTAAACTTAAGAAACAACAACATAACAGGAACAGATAGTGAAATAGTGGTGTTGTTATTGCAGTTGTAATCCAGATGGCTAGGCAAATGCCTTGGGGACAAACCCCACCATCTCAATTAGTGAAATTTGAGTGAAATTAAATAACTAAAATACAAAGCCGTCTGGGTAATGGTGATCTGGCAACTTAAAATCGATAATTATAAAAACACATCTGTATGCTATCTGCAAGGCACAATTCACTAATGTGAGGAGGTACTCTTCACTTGCCTGAATGGGTGTCACTCCAACCACATTCAAGCTCAACACCATCTAGGTCAAAGCATCCTGCTTGATTGACACCCCATCCAGTACGATGTTCAAAATTTCTTTCCTTCAACACGACACATACTGGCAGCAATGTGTACCATTTTCAAGATACACTGCAATTACTCACTAAACCTTCTTTGACAGCAGCTTCCAAACCCGTAACCGCAATGTCAAGGGCAACAGATGCATGGGAACATGGCCTGCAAGTTCCCCTTGAAACCACAGCATCCTGACTTGGAATTATATTGCACCTTCACTGCATG